ACCATTGGGCAGAAGACATCAAAGTATAGCCAGCCGAACAAACAGGTTTAAAGATAGTTTCTATCATTGGGCTGTGAGACTTTTAAATACAACCACAATCACTCCATGCACACGCTAGCTTTTTTTCTTTTTATTTCTTTTTTCATTTCTGTTATAATTTTGCACCAGTGAGGTTAAAACCAATTTCGTTGTATTTAAGTACAATGATAATAAAGATTATACTTATGCTTAGTTGTTCCAGCTTTAAAGTAGCATGCTCCCTCATAATTAGGCCACAGACAATACCATTTTTTTTTCATAAGTACAATCTGACATAGATGTTTCAGTGGAGTTAGATGATCCCTGAGCATTTATTGAGTACTTTCAGCTGGTATAGGCACCTCCCCACTTCTTCTCTCCTCCTTGGTCTCTGCTCTCCAAAACTGTTTTCTCCTCCATGCACCAGGCTTTGAAGAGGAATCAGCCCAACTAATAATTGACAGGTCCAGAATATGATGTAAAGAGACTGTTATGATGCTATCCACATACATACATATCTGCCAGCTTTTAAGTTCTACTAATTTTTTATTTTTTAAAAAAATGATTTACGGCTGTTGTTGAAGAACACTAAATAAGTCCAGCCTGAACAGGGGCTGCAGGAGTCCCAGTGTGTGATAGGAGGGAGACCCATGTAACACCATGGAACCCCACCATCACGTGCCTGTCAGCTGTAATATCTAACAGGGCTGTGAGAGCGGGCAGGAAAAAGGAAGAACTGACTCTGATGTATCCCTGGAATCAGAAACCTGAGGACATTGAAGGAGCTAAATAGCAGCTCCTATTCAATTTGCTGCTGGGGACTTATGGATAGCGCAGACTATATTTCAATAGATGGCTGAATCTGCAGATTTCCTGTTTGCTGAAACTCACTAAGCAAATGTGATGAAAGGAAAACATATGAGTGTCTGCAAATCTCGGGACCTGCTGAGCTTAAAAGTTGCTCTGGGGTTGGAGGAGAAGGCTGAGGAGACAACAGATGCCAGAAGTCAACAAAGGGAAGCTTACAGAGAAAGTGCTTATTAGGGCTACATATATTAACTCTTCCACCATCCTGTACCAGAAGTGGGTTGCTCCCGGTTCAGCCCAGTTTGGCCGAACCGGTACTGGAATTCAGGCCAGAAACTGGCAACGACCCAGGCCTGCCATGCCCCCAAACTGGTTCCCTTGCCACCACTGGGCTGCTGCCATTTTGGTTTTTAGTGACTGCGCATGCAGAGTTCACTCTAAATTGTTCTGCACATGCACGAAAAACAATTTACATTGAACAGTGCACACACTTGTTTGGCACTTAGCTCTTCTTCAGCAGAGAAGAGAGTTGGTTCCTCAAGCAAGAATTCTTTCCTCAGAGGCTTCTCAAGTAAAGAGTTGCTTCTATGCCCAAAGCTGATGCTGAAATAATTATTGAGATTGCTGGTGTGACACCAAAAGGAAAAGCCTCAAACTGTGGCTGTGAGACCTCTTGATTTCCTTGGATGGACTCTGAATGTTACTTCTTGTTTTGGACTGCTGAGCTCTAAAAAGTTTTTTTTTCTTCCTCAACTCTTGTCCCTGAACATTCAAGTGAATGGCGTAAACTTCAGCAGACTCCCTTCATCTTATGGGAACTCCATTTTGCTTTCCATTCTAATAGTCAGCTCCTCACTACTCTGTCTATAAGGATCCCTACCATATCCAGTTCCAACCCCAGTTTGGTCCTTGGTTAAGCAAAGTGATTGGTGGATATATTCTTACTTAGATGTTAAGCTGCGTATAGCAAATGTTTGAAACCTATTGGCTATTGAGTGAATTGCAAACTACTGAGTATTGCAAAGCAGTGAGTGGAAAGGATGTCTAAATTTGTGCACCTGTTAAGTTCACTGTTTTTTTTATGGAAACATCCGTTTTCACAAATGCTGCACACAAATAATAAATATGCATTCCAATTTGGAAAAATATGACACTTTAAATGATGTATCAGATTGTTTTCACTTAGGAATTCATTGAATCAAGATCACGTGAAGTGTTAATACCACTTTATAATGCCTTGGTAAGGCCACACTTGGAATACTGCATTCAGTTTTGGTCGCCACGATGTAGAAAAGATGTGGAGACTCTAGAAAGAGTGCAGAGAAGAGCAACAAAGATGATTAGGGGACTGGAGACTAAAACATATGAAGAACGGCTGCAGAAACTGGGTGTGTCTAGTTTAATAAAAAGAAGGACTAGGGAAGACATATCTCAAGGGTTTCCACAAAGAAGAGGAGATCAAACTATTCTCCAAGGAACCTGGGTGTAGAACAAGAAGCAATGGGTGGAAACTAATCAAGGAGAGAAGCAACTTAGAACTGAGGAGAAATTTTCTGACAGTTAGAACAATTAATCAGTGGAACAGCTTGCCTCCAGAAGTTGTGAATGCCCCAACACTGGAAGTCTTTAAGAAGATGTTGGATAGCCATTTGTCTGAAATGGTATAGGGTTTCCTGCCTAGGCCTTCCACCTCCAAGTCCCTTCCACCTCTGCTATTGTATTGTATTGTATTGTATTGAAGCACAAATGTTGACCAGAGTGCCTAACATTTGCATTTAATTGCATATAGTTGTTACTGTACTAAAACTAATGAAAACCCTGACTTGAAATGTCCGATCCTCTTCTCAGGTATGCCACTGGATGACAATCTTATTCAAATGCAACAAGGAACAATGATGCGCAAGGTGAAATCCAAGAATTGGAAGAAACAACGATTCTTCATGTTGCAGCAGGACTGCATGACAGTCTGGTACAAATCTAAGATGTCTGGCAAAGCCAAATCAGCCTGTGAGTTTGATTACCTGCACCATATTATTTGCAAGAGGGCTGATTCTCCGTAACATTGCCTTTGAGGTTGGGCTTTCAAATAGTGTAAGTGCAGAATAGAAAAATTTGGGAAATCTTGCACAAATTTACCCACAAAGCTATATAAAAAATGACGAGAGGAGAGGAGTAGGAGGGAGGAAGGAGAGGGAAGTGGAGAAGGAGAGAGAGAAGAGGGGAGAGGAGAAGCAGAAAAGGAAGGAGAAGGAAGTAGCGAGGGGAAAGGAAAGAGATTAATATATAGAATGTTATAGTACAATTATGAAGATAATGCCTATAACTATGACGTAGAACATTATGTATTTAAAAGAGACTATAAATGTATGATGAAGAGAATATTGGTTATAATCAGGGTGTATAAAATTATGTATACTCAAAAAGGACTGGATACAACCAATACACTGTCCTCACAAAACTGAAAAGGTGATGTATTATAAAGAAAAATGTACAATAAAAATATTTATTTAAAAATGTTTGTGACTACCAATTCTGAGAAGGATTCAGATCTCACAATAAGTGCAGAAAGACAACTAAAGCTGTTATAAGTATTGGTTTGTACAGCTTCAGAGAAGATAAAGTTTTGCATAACGTTATGGAGAATGTAGATGCGTATGTGTGCTCTCAAGCCTCACAATTTCTCATGTGCATGACATTTTCTAGAATAAATTTTGTAAGCTTTGTTTAAATCTTTGAGAAAACAAGAGTTTGGGATGTAGGTATAGCCCATCCTCATGATTGTCTGTGTGGTGGAATTACCATTGCTACTTCGGATATTATGCAATTGATCTCATCTAAAGTAAAGGTAAAGGCTTCCCTTCAACATATGTGTTAGTCATTCCTGATTCGAGGGGTGGTGCTCATCTCTGTTTCAAAGCCAAAGAGTCAGCACTCTCCAAAGATGTCTTCGTTGTCATGTGGCTGCCAAAGGCGCACGGAGTGCTGTTACCTTCCCACCAAAGGTGGTCCCTGTTTTTCTACTTGCATTTTTACATGCTTTCGAACTGCTAGATTGGCAGAAACTGGGACAAGTAACGAGGGCTCACTCCCTTATGCGGCACTAGGGATTTGAACCGCTGAACTGCCAACCTTTCTGATTGAGAAGCTCAGCATCTTAGCCACTGAGCCACCACGTCCCCTGATCTCATCTAGGGGATACCAAATTAATAGAAGAATGTTGAACAGAATAAATTCAGGCATAAAATATATTGTATCAAACTGCCAACTAAGGATATTTTTACTGCATGTTGCTGTATCTCCCATAGAGGCATTGAGTGCCTCATTGGCATTTTTCTGCTTGTTGTGCTGCTGCTGAATACGTGGCATCCTGAGTGCAGTCAGCTTCTCTTCAATTAATAATGAGAATCCTGTTCTGGGATTACGCTGGATATATTTTTAATCATATTCTTTATTTTCTTGGCTCTATTTTTTTTAAAAAACCCAATCACTTAGATTCCTCTGTTTGTGTTGATGTTCAGTCCAGACAGAGAAGCAAGGAACACTTTTATAATTTAAGCATAACTCTCTATGTAAAGGCTTATCTTTTCTGGCTATTCTTCTCCCAAGTTTCTGTCAGTGATGTGGAGACAATCCGTGAAGGTCATCAATCAGAGGTGCTGCGAAGTCTGGCTGAGGAGTTCCCAGCTGAGTGCTGCTTCACTGTTGTCTTCCATGGGCGGCGAAGCAATCAAGACCTCATTTCCAGTTCAGCCGAGGAGGCTCAGTGTTGGATCCAAGGTTTGAGGCGCCTCATAGAGATGGTCATTAACATGGATCAGAAAGAGAGGCTTGATCAATATCCTTACTTTTAATTACCTGCCATCCTTTTTGGACAAAAGGGGGAAAAGGAAGCTCAGCTTGAGTGTAATATTGGAGACACACTGACACGTCTATGTTTGTTCCAGAATGACAATCTAAAGGAAATGTCTTTATTTCTTCTTGTTATTTTAATCATTAATTAAAAATATAAAACTTAGTGAAAAATGTAATACTTTCCTCCCTTTATAACATGTAAGAAACAAACAGCCAAAAGAGTTTTCTCTTCCATTGCAGTTCCAGATCACTTCCATTACGATCTATCCTGAACTAACAAGGTGTCGGCGTGTGCTCATCTCCAGTATGTTTTGTTTTGACAAAAATATACGTTGTGTCCAGGGTTGGGTTCTGGCAGCCACTACTGCCAGCTTGCTTGTGGGTGTGCAACGCGGGGGGCTTGATCCGTGCTGTGCATGCATGCACAGTACAATACAAATTGAAACAAAATACCAGATGGCCAGGAGAACCAGTTCAGAGCGGAAGGGGTGGCAGACCTGGGTTGCTGCCGGTTCCAACGACCCAGGCCGCCAAACCACTACCGTTTTGGCTGAACCGGTCCAAACCAGTAGGAACCCACCACTGGTTGTGTCATCATTCCGAGTAATAAACTCAGGGAAATCAGGACTCTGAGACTTTGTTCAGATTCAGGAAACCCTTTATTGAGTACATCGTATCAGCACGTAGAAAGGTGCTTGGGAATATTTAAAAGAAGAGAATTTTTCCACCCATCCCCCTGTGTCTTTTAGGTCTCATGGGCCAATCAAGTCAGCCACAGTTTCTTGCTCAGCTCCAACAGGTGACCTTGGTTCACATCCCGGCTGGTAGGTGTTTTGACTAACAGCTGAGGCCCCACATTCCTAAATTCCCCCATCCCTCCCCCTGTGAATGGCAACCAAGAAAGGAAACAGAAGTAAGCAAGGGAAAAAATGCCTTCAGCTGAAGTTGTTTTGCAGGTTGACATATTGTTTGTCTGCCCCGATCCTATGAATCTGTTTTCTTTTTTTTTATTGAAAGTTTTTCAAAAAGTTTTACAAATATATACCTCCCCTCCCACCCAAACCCAACTCCCCCCCACTCCCCCCGAACCTCCCAGAGCAAATACAGGGTATAAACATTAACATCCATATTCTAAAATAAGCTAACAGACTTTAACATCATCCCTCACTTGTACTTTAACTCCCCTTTTGTAAAGCTAACTTTAAGCAAGTTGTATCATTCCTTGCTCATTCACTCATAAGCTATCTGGATTTTCTTAGTCCCGTATTTATTTTGAATATAGTCAATCCATCTTCTCCACTCCGGTTTATATTTCTCATTTGAGTGGTCCTTAAGATATGCTGATATTTTAGCCATCTCTGCTAAGTTTGTTACTTTTAATGTCCATTCTTGACATTCAAATCTTCCTTCTTCCAGTATTGCGCCACCAGCAGTCTTGCTGCCGTTATTAAATACAAAATCAGGTTAGTCTCTACATCTGTACAATCAGTAGTTATACCTAACAGGAATAACTGAGGAGTAAACTTTATCCTCTTTTTAAGAATATTTTGCATAATCCACCATATTTATGTCCAAAATGCTGAGTCTGTTTTCCTTAATCTGGCTGCGGAGATGGACATGGATCTGTGACTGGTTTTTAAAAGCTGATAAAGACAACGATGGGCGGATGAACTTCAAAGAGGTCCAGCACTTGCTCAGGATGATGAATGTGAATATGAATGAAGACCATGCCTTCCAGCTCTTCCAGGTACATCTGTAGGAGCCAAAGGAGAGAACAGGTGGAACTAGGGTGCATAAAAGTGATTCCTTTGCTGGTTCATAAGGTGGCAACACAAAGTCACATTGCCACCATCATCCACTGATGAGAGTACAGATATACTTCTAGCCCCTCTTGGTCTCTGCATATAATGTTTTGTTGTGGCCTGCCAGTGGAGCTGGCAGCAGATTTGGACAGTGAGGAGGTTGGGGAGGAATATGAGCCAGTCCTGGAGTCTGGGGAAGGCTCTGATAGGGGCTCTGTGTCGGAGGCAGAGAAGGAGCTAGAGCCTTATGCCAGTTATCAGCTGTCTTCGGAGTCAGACATCAGTGAGGCAGATTAACAGCTGGAGCCTATTCCCTGTGTGAGTATGCGCAGAGTGGCCAGACAAAGGGAACAGCTAAAGACTTGGGAGTAAGGCCAGAGGTAACCAATGAATGGCCCTCCCAGAGGAAATAAGAGGAGCAAAAGGGGAGTGGAGTTTGCAGAAGACAATTAGTTTGCTTAATTGGTTCATGACTCTCTGAGACTCCTTGCCAAGTTTTGCAGATATCGGCTTGTCAGCTCTCCAAGCCAGAAAAGGTCTCTGACTGTAATCCTCCCTTGAAAGACTTTGTTGGATGTGAATGAGCAGAATTCACAGTAAAATAATTTTTTGTCGGGAAGCCATGCTCTTGGGAAGCCTAGGTCAGAACATGTTTATCTTCAGACTTGGTTGTTCGATTTGTTTTCAATGACTCTATTTATACCCTAATGGAATATCCATTTAGTTGTGGCTCCTTGCCAATCTAAATGCTTTGTTTTCTGGAATACATTACACAGACCAACCTGATGTCGTTAGTCATCAGTTTAATCTTCTCTTCCTCAGTCAGCATGGTGGATGAAAGTAGTAGGATTTGTAGCCTGGCACTTTTAGAATACTATACTCAATTGTAAAATTGAGTGATAAAAGGGTTAACCAATAATTAAACAGCCTCTATTTTCTTATCTTGTCTGCTTAAAGTAAATGCAAGCTCCTTAGATGAGGCTCATGCCAAACACTACAACACACCATTCATGTAATAGCAACTGCGGTATGGGCCTTCCTCTATTGCTGAAATTGAACTACTCTGCAGCCATCCTTGCATTAATAAAAAATAGATGAAATTGGTCTTCCCATTGCCAATTCCTAGTCTCCTTTGTATTGCCTCAAATCACTACCAACCATTGGATTTCCCTCCAAATCCTAACAAATGGTACACAAGCTTTCTTTGGAGAGAATCAGAATTGTTGGCGATGTGAACCCAGTGGCACTTCAGAATCTCATGATCCACTGATCATGAGAGAACTCTGGGAAGTAGACAGAACATTAAGGATGTACTCAGTGTGCTCTGTTTCGCAAGATTGCTTATTTCAGATCATTTATTTTATTCATTGGCACATACGTGCAAACTCACACACAGCCATATAATTTTTGATTCAGTGTCTGGTAACCACTCATTAGTTATGTGCTAGACTTTGCCTATCTTATAATATACAAACTGATAACCCAATGCTGCCTGGGTATTTATTTATAAGGGGAAAATGTCCGGACGAAACGTAGTGTTGGATTTTCCCCCTTACCAGAGGGGACCCCCCCCCCCTTGTGAAGCTGTTATCATGGCAACTCCACTGTGCTGTACAGTAGAATCCATTTTAAGGCACAACAGGCTGTATCTTAACAGAACACATACACCGAGGAGTGTTGGGGTTTCTTACCCCCACAGTATATTTCTGTGTGTGTGTATGTATGTATGTGTGTGTATGTGTGTATGTGTGTATCCTGGAAAATGATCTTTTTTTTGTTACAAAATATGTACTTGTTCAAGTCCAGTTTTCCTAGTCTCGGGAATCATCACATATACACACAGAATGATTCAGTCTTTAAGGAGATGAAGGAAAACATTATCAATATGAGTAGTTGAAATTTGTTTCACTCGTGGATTCAAGATGAGATGAAAGCAACATTATGGAAACTAGCAGAAAAAAAAGACATTGCTAGGACATGTTTGCTCTTAAATCCAAGTGGAGAAAGGCCCTTAATTCCATTGGCTCCCTCAGTGGGCAGGAGGCCTTGTTTCCCTCAGTTTGATTGTTTTGTTGTACTTCCTGCACAAGGAAACTGTTGGTCAGAGTCCTCCATTTCTTACAGATGGCTGACAAATCAGAAACAGGGTCGCTGGAGGGAGAGGAATTTGTGCTGTTCTACAAAGCATTAACTCAGCGGGATGAGGTGCTTGAGATTTTCCAGGAGTACTCTGAAGATGGGAAGAAGCTGACCCTGTTGGAATTTGTGGACTTCTTGCAACAGGAGCAGATGGAGGTTGATGGCACTGATGAGCTTGCAATGGAACTGATTGACAGATACGAACCATCTGAGACTGGTGAGTTGGTGGGGGAACAAAAGGAGACTTGATGGGTCTGTAACTCAACATCCAGAATTGGGACAAGTTGTCGCTGAAGTGCTCAATGATCCAAAGCAGGAGTAGGTTCTGGCAGTCACTACTGCCAGTTTGCTTGTAGGCGCGCCGCATGGGTGAGCTTGATGCATGCTGCACGCACATGTGCAGTACAATAAAAATTGTTCTGCACATGCGCAGAAGCAAAAAACAAGATGGTGGCACTGTAGAAGCCGCCCGGAGAACCAGTTCGGGGGCCTGGCAGGCCTGGGTCACTGCCAGTTCCAGCAATCCAGGCTGCCAAACTATTACCAGTTTGGCCGAACCGGTAGGAACCCACCACTGATCCAGGGTGTGACTTTTTAGTGTTAGCAGAATTCCCCCAAACCAGCATTGCTGTTTTGTAATAGTTACATGACTCCATTGTCTGAGACTTCTAAGACCTGCTCTTTCCTGACTGATCAAAGGCTCCTGCTTCGTAGTCTTTATTTAGTTCAGTGCCTGTCCCTTAGCAGGGCTTTTGTTTCGAAAAGCCTATCCATTTCAGTTCTTCCTCACCAACCTTTTCTTCCGATAGGCAAAGCTCGTCATATCCTGAGCCCAGATGGATTCCTCACGTATCTCTGCTCACCAGATGGCTCAATCTTCAACCCTGAGCACAGGAAGATCTTCCAGGATATGTCTCAACCTCTCTGCCATTATTTCATCTCTTCCTCTCACAACACATATCTGATTGAAGACCAGCTGCGAGGACAAAGCAGTGTTGAAGGATACATCAGGTATCAAAATGAAAGGAGAGATGAGAAAGCAGCTGCATCAATAGTTCTTTCAGTGACAGAACCAAAAATCTTTATCTTATTAATAAGTACAAGTAGTCCTTGACTTATGAACACAATTGAGCCCATTGCTAAGTGACACCTTTGTTAAGTGAATTTTGTCCCATTTCACGGCCTTCCTTGCTGCAGTTGCTAAGTGAATCTCTGGGGTTATTAAGTTAGTAACATGGTTGTTAAGTGAATCTGGCTTCTCCATTGATTTTGCTCATTAGACAGTCATAAAAGGCGATCACATGATCCAGGGATAATGCAATCATCATTAATATGAACCAATTGCCAAGCGTCCAAATTTTGATCATGTGACTATGGAAGTGCTACAGTGCTGTAAGTGTGAAATACGGTCATAAGTCTTTTTTTTTCCAGTGCAGTTTTAACTTCAAATGGTCACTAAACAAATGATGGTAAGTCAAGGATTATCTGTTAATAATGCAGCAAGCACATCAGAATGCCATCAGTGTATTAAAATCCTAAACTGAATCTGAAATTACTGGTCCATCAATCCTTGTCGTGATTATGTTAATTCCTTTCCTTTTTCTTAAGAAAGAAATAAACCAAATAAACAGTAGAGGACAGTAGAAATGGCTAGTAAAATGCAAAACATACCATGTGAAGAATAAAAACAGAGTTTTCAAATGGAGGCTGAGCAGAACTGTATCAGACTTTTTCCAGGCCTTTGATTCCATGTATAAACTTATCTTTTCTTTCTACTGATTTTAGGTTAAATCCTAAAAGGCTAACAGATTTCACTCCTCATTGTACTGTTACCATTTCCTATTTTTTCAAGCCCTTTTTCAACTCATTATAACTTCTTGACTGATATCCCCAACTATCTTTATAATTAACTTTATGGCTCTTCCTTAAAGCCAAGTTAAGTGCTATCCACCAATCTTTGAACCCACACAAAAAATAGAAATAGTCCTTCCTAGGTTTCTAGATCTTATTGTGAATTGTGGTGGAGTCCTCTAGGACAGTGGTCCCCAACCTTTTTATCGCCGCGGACCAGTCAGCCTTTGATAATTTTCCCGGGGCCCGTTGTGGGCGCGCAGGGGTGGGGGGGCGTTGTTCGCGCACGCTGTAAAATGTA